GAGGCAAGATGGAGTGGAGTGGCGCAATCTCGGCTAACTACAACCTGTGCCTCCTAAATTCAAGCAATTCTCCTACCACAGCCTCCCTAATAGCTGGGACTACAGGGTGTGCCACCATGCCTGGCTGATTTTTACATTTTTTGTGGGGATGAGGTTTTGCCATGTTGACCAATCTGGTCTTAAACTTCTGGCTCAAGTGATTTGCCTGCTTGGGCCTCCAAAAGTGCTGGGATCACAGGCATAAGCCATTGCACCTGGCCTTGAATGATTAAACCTTTATATCTGCAAATACAGTTACCTGTTGAATTTTCAATTTCAGTAATTGTATTTTTTTAATTTTTAGAAGCTCTATTTTTTTTAAACCTTTAGCTTATTATTTACATATTTTTTATTTCCTGCAGATATTTTTGGAATTGTCTTTATTTATTTATTTATTTTTGAGACAGAGTCTTGCTTTGTCGCCCAGGTTGGAGTTCAGTGGTGTGAACTTGGCCCACTGCAACCTCCGGCTCCCGGATTCAAGTGATTTATCCTGCCTCAGCCTCCCGAGTAGCTGGAATTATAGCGCCTACCACCATGCCCAGCTAAGTTTTTTATTTTTAGTAGAGACTGGATTTTGCCATGTTGACCAGGCTGGTCTCAAGCTCCTGACCTCAGGTGATCCACTTGCCTTGGCCTCCCAAAGTGCTGGGATTACAGGCGTGAGCCACACCTGGTCGTCTTTTATTTCTTTAAGATTATAGTAGTTTTGCAATCTTTGATAGTTACACTATAAGAAAAATTGTGAGTCTGTTTTTGTTGTCTGGTGTTTTTGTTGGTTCTCCCTCATAGTTGCTTGGTTATTTTTGACTTGATATACTGCTCATTGTTCTAGAAACATCATAGTGGGGATTCTTTGATACTTAGGATGAAGGCACCTTTCTCTAGGCAGGACGTGGATTTACTTATGTTAGGTGCTTGGGGCCATTAGTAACTGGGGGTCTCTGAGTTCAAGTTTTGAGAGTCTCTGGGCCCCTTAGGTCATGTGAACCTCAGCAAGTGTGCAGGCCCATGGTCAAAACTAATTACCTGTTCTTTCCCTGTATTCACATTGCCTTTCTCTGTTTAGCACCAAAGCAGCCTTCTTAGCGGTTCCCTGAGTGGGGGGAGGCTGGGAGAAAGAGGTGTTCACTTCTAGTTTACTCTCTCCTTTGCAGATATATCTTCTTTGGGTAGGGTGGTGGTCCACATTAATGCCAGGAGAGTTTCCTATTTGACCCTCTGCCTTGACAGATACAGGTTTACTTCTGTTTCCCTTGCCCTATAAGACCATCAAAACTGAATCCCACATTTGTCAGAATTGACAAATGCTTTCAGAGCATAAGTAGCTATAATGTTCCAGTGTTCTGGATTCCCATTTTCTCTTAGGTTCTAGTTTGGGTAGTTTGCGGTGCTTTCAAAAAGTATTTATTTTTGATTCCTTTTCTCTAGCATATGTAGTTGTTTTTTTTTTTTTTTAAGTTGGAGGGTTAGGAAAAATAGCTTGCCACTGAGGAAATAAAAGTAAAAATAAGTTTTGTTTTTCTAAAAATAATTTTGGGAAATGTTCAGTATAGTGATTTTCATTAAATGGGAAAGTGAATTATTATAAATTAGGATATAGTTATAAATTTTGGTTGGTGGGGAGGGTTACCATTCATGTTTGTTAAAAATGTTTATATCTATTTTTTGGTTTACATCTAATAGTTTTCTTGTTTTAGGGGTAGAAATATTTCTGTCATGGCTCACTCAAAGACTAGGACCAATGATGGAAAAATTACATATCCTCCTGGGGTCAAGGAAATCTCTGATAAAATATCTAAAGAGGAGATGGTGAGACGATTAAAGGTGAGTAAAATTATGTTCTTTTGGACATCTGTGTAAATCTGTGTAAATCATATGGGGCTATAATATATCTTGTTGGGGTAACTTATAAAAGCAAAGCAGCAAATGACATAGAAAGGATCTAAGGGAGTAGGGTATATAAAAGGAACAGTGGAGATTATTTGTCTGTGATTAATGGGACAGCAGTTAGAAAGGGTGAAGCTTAGATTTTCTAGGATCTCCTGTACTTGATTATAAAGAACAGATCTACAATACTCTTATATTTCTGTTTGTCTGTACAAAGTTGTCTCCTTTCTCTAATATATCATGTAGTTTCTAAAGACAACCACTGTAAGGTAGTTTTTATACTGAATAATCAGGCTGTATACTACTTTCTTGTAAGTTTTTTTTGTTGTTGTTGTTTTTGAGACGGAGTCGTTCTTGTTACCCAGGCTGGAGTGCAATGGCACGATCTCAGCTCACCACAACCTCCGCCTCCTGGGTTCAGGCAATTCTCCTGCCTCAGTCTCCTGAGTAGCTGGGATTACAGGCACGCGCCACCATGCGCAGCTAATTTTTTGTGTGTTTTTAGTAGAGACGGGGTTTCACCATGTTGACCAGGATCGTCTCGACCTCTTGACCTGGTGATCCACCTGCCTCGGCCTCCCAAAGTGCTGGGATTACAGGTGTGAGCCACCGCACCCGGCCCAGGAATTTTTATAAGGAGAAAAAAAGATGCTAATACTATCATACATTTCACATAAAGTCTTAATATTGTAATATATATGTTTATTTATACTTAAAGTATTGGAATTTCAGATGCCAGATGTTTATTATTCAAAGGAAAATCATCTTTGAGCAGATTAAATTTACTAATACGTGTATATTTTATCTAGTTGGGGACTTGTGTATATTTTGTTAAGAACGGTCAAGCTATAAACCCCTTCTGTATGTGACATGCTTCATTTTCTATGTATTTACCTTCTCTTGACCTATTGCATTTTTAGAGAAACTAATACATTTATTAGCTTAGATTTGTTTATACTAAGAATAAGTGAACATTCCTGTTGTTTGCTGAGAAACTAATCTTGAACTCAGACAGTGCCTACACTTACAAACTGATCAGCATTAGTATCCTTTAGAGATGTTTTTTTTCTCAGACATCTTTTCTAATTTGGAGGACTCTTGAGTTATTAATGAGTTTTATAATAGCATTTGAGCTGTATATAGTAGTGAAGAATTCTTGTTTTCTGGACCTTTAACAAACTGTGTGGTTATTGTGGGTGGAATGATTGCCTCAGTACTCATATTTAGTGTTTGTAATATGCTTTCATTATTTTGCGGACATTTATGTCTGACAGTAATCCAGTTATACTTTTTTCTCATTAATTTTCCTAATTTATACTTCCTATTATTTTTAACATCCTCATTCTTAGAAAAATATAAAAAAAATTATGCGGGATGATATGTACAAGTACCCATGTAAGTTTTATACATTATAACAATTTGTTAACATGTAAGGTGACACTATTTATAAATTTTTTTTTCTTGTGATGTTTAATTCAAAATATGCTTAATCTCTTACTTTTTTGCTAAGAGATCTACAGAAATAAATAGTTCCATGCACATGCACGTAGCTCTTTTTTCTCCTTTGTGGTTTTTCCTAAACACATAGGCAATCACTACATAAATCTTAAAAGTAATAAAATAGAAAAGTTATAAGACCTGCACATCATACCCTTAATCTAATTGTAGTGCCAGGTCAGAAGGATTAGTTTGCTGTTTGTTCTGGTATCTGGCATAATAGAACTGAGAGGTTGCTCTGTGAGGAACAGTGTTTTCCAGAGCTGCTCTGAGAATTCAGTATGAAATTGAGCCATTTATTACTCAGAAGCCTAGCTTGATGGCAAGTGGAAATCCTTGCAGCATAGAGGACCAAGACATCAACATTGATCCTTTGTGGCCAGTCCCACTTGTTGCCTAGTATTTGCAGCACCACCTAGTGGATGCTGGATGGTTGCCTTTCCATTGGAGTTGTATATTGGGTCCTGTGAAGTTAGGCACTTTTTGTTTCATCTGAAGTAGGAATGGTGCAGACTGAGGTCATCATTGTAATTACTAATGTTGAAATCAGAGAAAGCTCTTCTCAGAATTTATACTATACCATTCCTCACCATTCTATTTTCTATTCACCTTTTATAGAAATATTTTGAAAAAAGAACCATTTCTTATAGCTTCCTCGGGTTTAACTCACACGTGCCCCTGAATTAATGAATTAGCCATCTCATATTCTCTTTTACTGCAGCACAAGAAATATTTTGTTGGATGCTATGGTAGTTACTTCATAGTAGCTTTTCAGAGTTTAGGGATGCGTCTTTGACATCCTTTCTTGAATAAAACCATGTGACTGGAGTGGTTTAATGGCTTAAATGGAAAATTGTCATCTTAGGGTTTTTTTTCTTCTCAAAAAAGGATTAGAAATATTATTTTTAAAAAAGATGGTATTCTTAAGGACATACTCCTTTTAGTCCAGTTTTACAAGTGAGACCAGAAGTTTCCACAGATATTCTATTGGAATTCTTTCAATAATGACTACTACCTAAGGCTAATTTAAACTTTAAAAATCTGGTTAGCAGATATTTTGGGTAAATGAAAAATATTTTAAACTTTTAGAGTTTACCATTAGTTTTAGAAGGATTATGTTCTCTCAAATAGAGATTTTCTGCAGAAAATGAAAGTATATTCATTTGAAGTTGACCTTAGCAATTAATATAACCTTTAATTCACATGACTGTATTTATACATGAAGCATTTCATTATTTGATTTTTTTTTGTTTTTGCATAGATGGTTGTGAAAACTTTCATGGATATGGACCAGGACTCTGAAGAAGAAAAGGAACTTTATTTAAACCTAGCTTTACATCTTGCTTCAGATTTTTTTCTCAAGCATCCTGATAAAGATGTTCGCTTACTGGTAGCCTGCTGCCTTGCTGATATTTTCAGGATTTATGCTCCTGAAGCTCCTTACACATCCCCTGATAAACTAAAGGCAAGTACTGATTTAAACAACTCTGAGATTGACAGATACTTTGATTTATCTTTCTAACTAAAATAGGAGGTAAGGCATTTAGATGATTTCCTTGGGTTCTTTGACATTAGCTACAGTAATCTTTTGCTAAACTTCATCTGTTTGTTTTTAGAACTTTTCAAAAACTGTTTCTAGTCTTGAGGTTAGGAAGTAGATTAATGCAGTGTATAATTCTTTTTAATATTATGTCATTATTAGCTCTGTTTCTTTCAATATAATTTTGGGGGCAATTTCTTTTCACTTTTGAAAATCCATATTCAAAATCATGGCCATTATTTAAAAGAATACCTAGTATAAACATGAGTCTATAATATATAATCCTCATTTATTTAGTGGAAGATGTGATAAAAATTGTTATGAAGAAAATACAGGCCAGGTGCTGTGCTCAGGTCTGTAATACCAGCACTTTGGGAGGCTAAGGCAAGAGGATTACTTGAGTTATCATGAGTTTGAGACCAGTTTGGGCAACATAGCAAGGCCTTGTCTCTAATGAAAAAAAAAAAAGAGAAAGAAAAATTAGCGTTGTGTGGTGCTGTGCACCTGTAATCCTAGCTACTTGGGAGGCTGAGGTGGGAGGATTGCTTGAGTGCCCTGAGGGCAGAGGTTGCAGTGAACCAAGATGGCACCACTGTACTCCAACCTGGGCTGAGTGAGACCCTGTCTCTATTTAAAAAAAAAAAAATTCATCTCGCCGCTGCTGCTGCTGCACTGATGGCAGTGGCCCGTGCCTCAGAGTTACCGATTTATTCTTGAGACTCATCTACTCTCATCTATCCTCATGGATGAACTTCAGGATGTTCAACTCACAGAGATCAAACCACTTCTAAATGATAAGAATGGTACACGAAACTTCAGGACTTTGACTGTCAGGAGCATGACATAGAAACAACTCATGGTGTGGTCCATGTCACTATAAGAGGCTTACCCAAAGGAAACAGACCAGTTTTACTAACATATCATGACATTGGCCCCAACCGTAAATCCTGTTTCAATGCATTCTTTAACTTTGAGGATATGCACGAGATCACCCAACACTTTGCTGTCTGTCATGTGGATGTTCCAGGCCAGCAGGAAGGGGCATCCTCTTTCCCCACAGGGGATCAGTACCCCACAATGGATGAGCTGGCCGAAATGCTGCCTCCTGTTCTTACCCACTTAAGCCTGAAAAGCATCATTGGAATTGGAGTTGGAGCTGGAGCTTACATCCTCAGCAGATTTGCACTCAGTCATCCAGAATTTGTGGAAGGCCTTGTGCTCATTAATATTGACTCTTGTGCTAAAGGCTGGATTGATTGGGCAGCTTCCAAACTCTCTGGCCTGACAACCAATGTTGTGGACATTATTTTGGCTCATCACTTTGGGCAGGAAGAGTTACAGGCCAACCTGGACCTGATCCAAACCTACAGAATGCATATTGCCTAAGACATCAACCAAGACAACCTGCAGCTCTTCTTGAATTCCTATAATGGACGCAGAGACCTGGAGATTGAAAGACCCATACTGGGCCAAAATGATAACAAATTAAAAACATTAAAGTGTTCTACTTTACTGGTGGTAGGGGACAGTTCGCCTGCAGTTGAGGCTGTGGTCAAATGTAATTCCCGCCTGAACCCTATAAATTCAACTTTGCTAAAGATGGCAGACTGTGGGGGACTGCCCCAGGTAGTTCAGTCTGGGAAGCTCACCGAAGCCTTCAAGTACTTTTTGCAGGGAATGGGCTACATACCATCTGCCAGCATGACCCGGCTTGCCCGATCACGGACCCACTCAACCTCAAGTAGCACTGGCTCTGGAGAAAGTCCCTTCAGCTGGTCTGTCACCAGCATTCAGTCAGATGGAACTCTAGAATCCTGTGAGTCCCCTGATGTCCTGGACAGACACCAGACCATGGAGGTTTCCTGCTAAACAGATGCTCCTCCCCTGAATCATTGCAAGTCCATCCTTCTTCAAATGACCATTCCATAGTATAACATTTCATCCAGTAAACTGGCCTCTACTATCTTTAACTCATGCATGGCCACTGAACCTCTTTTTTTTTTTGAACCTCTCTCTAGTAGCCTGGATTTATCATTCTCTCTGACTGCTCACCCCTTTTTTGTATATCCCAAAACCCACTTCCATGCCATACCGTAACATTCCAACATCTTTAGCTGATCAGGTCTCTTCATATCCTCTCTTGCCAGCTTTTTTCTGTGCTCCCTCAACTATGTATCAGATAAGATTCTTTGATCCCGACTCTGTGTGTGTGCGAGCACGCGTGTCTGTGTTTGTGTGTGCATAGTTGTGTGGTTTTAGACATGCTTTCTTGTAGTGCTTCTGCAAAATATTAAAAAGGGACTTATTTTGCATTCTCAATGGTTTTTTTAAGGGAATTAGGCAGAACAGATTTCTAGGTAGGGTAGGCCAACTGCATTATCTTTTGTTTGCAGATTGGTCAACAAAATTTGCAAAGTGATTTCAGGAGAGAGCAGCTCTGAGGAATGTGGAAAATCATAATTACTGCCTGGACCATTGATTGATTGTGACCAATAGGAGAAGGCTGCCTGTTACATAGAGAGGCTCCTTCTGTCCAAATGAATTCATGTATACTATTCTATAAATAAAAGGGAGGAATATATTCTGCTGGAAGCCCATGAACCATCATCGGTGAGGTTCTGATACAACATAAGAGTTGTTTCCAAGGAGAGAGTGTGGCTTAATTACTGGACTCACTTAGCACAGGAAGGTGGAAAACAAAATGCCAGGCCTCTGCTCTGCAGGAACAAAACTGCTATTGCTACAGTATCTGATAGCAGACATCCACATATCCACAAGAAGTGCCTCTTAGGTCTATGATGAGAGTATGTCTCCATTCCTCACTTCCCAGAAAGGGGAGAGGGATGGCTTAAAAATCATGTAGATGGTGGAGAAATGGGTGGGGGGAGAGGAACAGCCATTAGCATTGTATCATGTTTAATAAGCTTGATTTCAGCAGCCATATGGAAGCCAAATTAAATTAATATAGAACTAAAAAAAAAATAAGTAAAAATAAAAAAATTCAGTGAACAAAATTTTAAGGAAAGGTACAAAAGACATGTAGTACTTGGTTACGGTAATTGTAAGTAAAACTGTATGAATGCAGGATCTTTAAAAGACCAGAAGAGAAGGGGTATAGCATGAGTAATGTATTTAGGAAAATGCTGGTAGAAAGCATGAAGTAATTAGAGCTGTGTAAATGATACTGGATGTTTATAAGGCAGGTCAGGTAGGAATTAAAAGCAGCAATAATAAAAGATAATTGCGGAGACCTGTAATCCCAGCAGTTTGGCAGGCAGGTGGGTGGATCACTTGAAGTCAGGACTTTGAGACCAGCCTGGCCAACATGGTGAAACCCTCATCTCTACAAAAAATATAAAAATTAGCCAGGTGTGGTTGCACATGCTTATAATCCTAGCTACTCAGGAGGCTGAGGCAGGAGCATCACTTGAATCTGGGAGGTGAAGGATGCAGTGAGCCAAGATTGTGCCACTGCACTCCAGTTTGGGCAACACAGCAAGACTGTCTCAAAAAAAGAAAGATAATTGTGGAAACTATGGGTTAGAGAATGAATCTATAGAAAGATTATTAATTCACAGTGTGAAAAAATACAGTATATGTTTATTTCACTTAATAAGTCTTACTGTTACATGTCAGGAACTGGATTTACAGTGGTAAAATAAAAAACAGGCATGGTTCTCAGACTCATGGAGTTCTTGATAATTGAAGTGAGGAATGTGCTTATTTGATCAAGTCTACCAATTCAAGTAGAGAATGTGGAACCAGTTTTGGGCATTCTTGTTTTAAATTTTGATTGGTGAAAGAATCTTAGCATGAGGGAGGAAGAGAGTAATATTTGTCATTTAAACGTGGAATTGAATTGTAAGATTTGAGAATGGTCAGAGACATTAAAGAAAGTAGATAATACAAGCTGGTCCATGTAGTTGTGTACCTAGGTACTGGCTTGATTTCTAAATGTGAACTTCTCATTTGCAGATACTTAATCAGTTTAAGGAATGATTCCATTTGTTTGGCTGTAGGCTGGGGCTCTCTTTTAATAGATGTTTTGTTGGCATTCTCATGACGGGGAAGTCTAACTTAAGACTGCTGCTATAATTTACTTACCTCTCTTGGGAATCTTTGAGTTTGCATGATCTGTGACCTATTTCAGGACTTAGGGGGTAATGAGAAGTTCTCCCTAAAAAATAGCTTCTGTTTATAACAGAACAGGTTATGAGAAGACTATAAAATAGCTGAATGTAGGGTCTTTGTGTATTATTCCCTAGCTGAAAAAATTTTAAGTATTTAGTTTTTCTGATGAAAAATTTTTTTTTTTTGAGACACAGTCTTGCTCTGTCTCTGGGGCAGTCTTGGCTCACTGCAACCTCTGCCTCCCAGGTTCGAGTAATACTCAACCTTCCAAGTAGCTGGAATTACAGGCACCCGCACCATAACCCGGCTAATTTTTATACTTTTAGTAGAGACGGGCTTTCAGCATCTTGGCCAGGTTGGCCTTGAACTGCTGACCTCATGATCCAACCGCCTTGGCTTCTCAGAGTGCTAAGGACTACAGGCAGGAGCCCCTGCCCCTGCCTGAATTTTTGAGTCTTATTCTAAATGCCTCTTTTTTCTTTTGGGGGGACTGTAAAATTATTAAAATTGTTCTCTTTTTTTTATATTGCTCTTCTCAGCACCTATTTGTTTTTTATTATTACAAAGAAAGAGAAAGAGAAAGGGGAGAGAGAACAGGAGTCTTGCTCTATTGCCCAGGCTGGAATGCAATCTAAAAATAGGTATTAAAAACCTCTTTTATGCTGATAATTGTACCTAACAGCGGAGACAGGAAGGAATAAGGGAAGAAAATAAACAGCCAACCAGTGTTTCATTTAAGTCTGTGAAATGCTGTGCAAGTGCTGAAGAGTGATTTGCTTCCAATTATGTGGTCACTTTCAAAATAGGTGTAACTTGATACTGAGAAAAATGTATGTTCTGTGGACCTGGGGTGAAGAATTCTATAAGTATTCACTGAATTTACTTGTTCCAGGTCTGAGTTCAAATCATAGATGTCCCTGTTAATTTTCTATATCGTTGATCTGTCGAGTATTAACAATGTGGTGTCAAAGTCTCCCGCTATTATTGTGTGGGAGTCCAGGTCTCTTTCTAAGTCATTAAGAACTTGTCTTATGTATCTGGGTGTTCCTATATTGGGTGCATATATATTTACGATCATTGACTCCTGTTGTTGCATTGATCCTTTTACCATTATGTAATGCCCTTCTTTGCTTCTTTTAGTCTTTGTTACTATTTTTTTTTTCTTTTTTCTTTTGAGACGGAGTTTTGCTCTTGTTACCCAGGCTGGAGTGCAATGGCGCAATCTCAGCTCACCGCAACCTCCGCCTCCTGGGTTCAGGCAATTCTCCTGCCTCAGCCTCCTGAGTAGCTGGGATTACAGGCACACGCCACCTTGCCCAGCTAATTTTTTGTATTTTTAGTAGAGACGGGGTTTCACCATGTTGACCAGGATGGTCTTGATCTCTCGACCTCGTGATCCACCCGCCTCAGCCTGTCTTTGTTACTATTAAAGTCTATTTTGTCAGAGATGAAAGCTACAACTCCTGTGTGTGTTTTTTTTTTTAAATATGCTCTCCATTTGACTAATAAGTCTTCCACCAACACTTTGTTTTGAGTCTTTGTGTGTCCCCACTTATGAGATGGATCTGGATACAGCGTACTGATGGGTTTTGACTTTTTATTCAATTTCCCTGTCTGTGTCTTTGATTGAGGCATTTAATCCATTTAAATTTAGGATTAATATTGATATTTGTGAGTTTAATATTGTCATTTAATGCTAGCTGGCTATTTTGCCCATTAATTGATATAGATTCTTCATTGTGGAGATACTCTTTACCTTTTGGTAAGTTTTTGGGATGACTGATACTGGTTGTTCCTTTATGTGTATAGTGCTTCTTTCAGAAGCTCTCGTAAAGCAGGCCTGGTGGTGATGAAATCTCTGAGTGCTTGCTTGTTCATGAAAAATTTTATTTTTCCTTCATTCATGAAGCTTAGTTTGGCTGGATATGAGATTATGGGTTGAATATTCTTTTCTTTGAGGATATTGAAAATTGACCCCCACCCTCTTCTAGTTTGTAGGGTTTCTGCTGAGAGATATGCTGTGAGTCTGATAGGCTTCCCTTTATGGGTAACCTGACCTTTCTTTAGCTGCCATTAGAATTTTCTCCTTTGTTTCAACCCTGGTGAATCTAATGATTATGTGTCTTGGTGTTGCTCTACTTGAGGAATATCTTTGTGGTGTTCTCTGTATTACCTGGAGTTGAGTATTGTCCTGCTTTACTAGGTTAGGAAAATTTTCCTGAATCATATCCTGAAGAATATTTTCCAGCTTGTATTCATTCTCTTCATGACATTCAGGTACACCTATCAAACGTAAATTAGGTCTTTTCACATAGTCCCATATTTCTTGGAGACTTTGCTCATTCCCTTTTACTCTTTCTTCTCTAATCTTGTCTTTTCATTTCATTTCATTAAGTTGGTCTTCGACTTCTGATATCCTTTCTTCTGCTTGATCAATTCGAGTGTTAAAACCTGTGCATACTTCGCGGTGTTCTCATATTGTATTCTTCAGTTCCATTAATTCACTTATATTCCTCTCTAAATTGTCTGTTCTCATTAGGATTTCGTCAAACCTTTTTTCAACATTTTTAGTTTCTTTACATTGGGCTAGGACATGTTCTTTTGACTCACAGAAGTTTCTTATTATCCACCTTCTGAAGCCTAATTCTGTTAATGGAACGCACTCGTTCTCCATCAGGCCTTGTTCCCTTGTTGATGAGGACCTGTGATCCCCTGTAGAGGGAGAGGCATTCTGATTTTGGGTATCTTCAGCCTTTTTATGCTGGTTTCTTCCCATCATTGTAAATTTATCCACCTGTTGTCTTTGTAATTACTGATTTTCAAATTAGGTCTCTGAGTGGACGTCCAACTTGCTGATTCCCAGCGCTGGAGTGTGAGCAACTCACTGCACCGGCTAAAACAGTGGCGTCAAGATTCATGGTGCTATTCTGCCTGGAAATCTCCGGTCTGGCTTCCTTCTTGAGTCCCTTTTTCAATCAGTTTAATAGGCGACTCTGCCTTCCCAGAGCTCCAGACGTTGACCAAAAGGGGACCCAGTCCTGTTTACTCTGTACCAAGAACTGCTGCACTGGGGCACCAGCAAAACTGCCGTGCCGGCCACAAGAGTTGTGCTGGTGACCCGTGGGGCTCCTCTGCTGGGAATCTCCTGGTCCATGAGCAACAAAAATTCGTCTGAAAGTGTGGCGTCCTCTTGTTCTGTGCACTTTCACTGGGAGCTGCTAGTAATCAGCCATCTTGGATCTCTCCTAAAATTGTTAATTATTAAACATTATTGACTTTGAGGATGCTTTCTAAATATTTAAGAGAGTTCACTTTGTTTTGATTAGCATCCAGATTCATATATATGTATATCTGTCTATATTTTGTCTACAGTAGTGTTAAATACATATTAGAAAATTGTGATATTTGAGTCTTACCTTTCCACTTTCAGTTTGTTATTGTCATCAGCAAACCCCTTTTATACAATTGGTTCATGTTCAGACAGTAATTGGTGAGGTTGTAGGTAACTATTGTCTTTCCATTGCCACATAGGGTCAGTAAGGCATGTATTCTCTTTTAGCAATCCAGGAAAGGTTCATTCATAGAGAACATATTTTCCACAGTACTACTGTCAAAGTAACTTTTTTTTGTTTTAAGTAACCTTTTAAAAAAAACTTCTAGGTTCAGGGGTACCTTTGCAGGTTTGTTATGTAGGTAAATTTCATGTCATGAGGGTTTGATGTATAGATTATTTTGTCACTCAGGTAAAAACTTGGTTCCCAATAGGTAGTTTTCCTATCCTCACCCTCCTCCCACCCTCCACCCCCTACCCTCAAGAAGATGTTGGTGACTGTTCTGTTCTTTGTGTTCATATGTACTCAATATTTAGCTCCCACTTATAAGTGAGAACATATGGTATTTGGTTTTCTGTTCCTGCTTAGGATAATGGCTTCCAGTGCCATCCGTATTGCTGCAAAGGACATGATCTCATTCTTTTTTATGGCCGTGCAGTATTCCATGGTGTATATGGAATATTTCTTTATCCAGTCTACTGTTGATTGGCATTTAGATTGATTTCATGTTTTTGCTATTGTGAATAGTGCTGCTACGAACATACACATTCATGTGTCTTTATGGTAGAGTGATTTATATTCCTTTGGGTATACATCAGTAATGGGATTGCTGGGTCAAATGGTAGTTCTATTTTCAGTTCTTTAAGAAATTGCCAAATTGTTTTCCACAATGGCTGAACTAATTTACATTCCCACCAGCGATGTATCAGCACTCCCTTTTCTTTGTAGCCTTGCCAGCACCGTTTTTTTTAAAGCTTTTTAACAATACCCATTCTGACTGGTGTGAGATGATATCTTGTGGTTTTGATTTGCATTTCTGTAATCAATGATGTTGAGCATTTTTTCATACACTTATTAACCATACATGTGTTTTCTTTTGAAAAGGGTCTCTTCATGTTTTTTGCCCTCTTTTTAATGGGGTTGTTTTTTGCTTGTTAATTAAGTTCCTTATGCATTATGGATATATTAGATCTTCGTTGGATTTATGGTTTGCGAATATTTTCTCCCATTCTGTAGGTTGTCTCTGTTTTGTGATGCAGAGGCCTTTTGGTTTAATTAGGTCCCATTTGTCAATTTTTGTTTTTGTTGCATTTGGTTTTGGTGTCTCCATCATGAAATCTTTGCCAGGTTCTGTGTCTAGAATCTTATTTCCTAGGTTATTTTCTGGGGTTTTTATAGTTTTAGGTTTTACATTTAGGCCTTTAATCCATCATGAATTGATTTTTGTGTATGGTGTGAGGAAAGGGTCCAGTTCTGCATATGACAAGGTAGTTATCCCAGTACCTTTTATTGAATAGAGATTCCTTTCCTCATTGCTCATTTTTGTGGTTTTGTTGAAGATCAGATGGTTGTAGGTGTGCAGCTTTATTTATGGACTTTCTATTATGTTCCATTGGTCTATGTTTTCGTATCAATACCATGCTGTTTTGGTTACTATAGCCTTGTAGTATACTTTAAAGTTGTGTGATGTGATGTCTCCAGCTTTTTTTTTTTTTGATTAGGATTGCCTTAGCTGTTTGGTTCCATACACATTTTAAAATAGTTTTTTCTGATTTTGTGAAGAAGGTCGTTGTTAGTTTGATAGGATTTGCATTTAATTCTGTAAATTGCTTTGGACAGTATGGCCTTTTTAGTAATATTGATATTTTTTATTCATGAACATGGAATGATTTTCTATTTGTTTGTTTCATCTGTGATTTCTTTGAGCAATGGTTTGTAATTCTTGTTGTGGAGCTCTTTCACCACTTTTGGCGGCTGTTTTCCTAGGTATTTTATTTTTTTTGTGGCTATTGTGAATGGAATTGTGTTTTGTGTTTTTTTTCCTTTTACTTTGTTTTTTTTTTTTTTAGAGACAGAGTCTGGCTCTGTCACCCAGGCTAGAGTGCAGTAGCACAGTCTTGGCTTACTTCTCTTTTTGCCTCCTGGAATCAAGCAATTCTCCTGTTTCAGCCTCCTGAGTAGCTTGGACTACAGGCCCACACCACCACACATGGCTACTTTTTGTATTTTTAGTAGAGATGAGGTTTTGCCATGTTGGCCAGGCTGGTCTTGAGCTTCTGGGCTTAAGTCATCCACCCACCTTGGCCTTCCGAAGTGCTGGGATTACAGGCTGAGCCACTGTGCCTGTCTATGATTGTGTTTTTGATTTAGCTGTCAACTTCAAAATATGTGGTCATCATTATGCAGTGAATCACATCTTAAAAATTTGCTGAAGATTGTTTTATGGTTTATTATGTGGTCAGTTTAAAAGTATGTGCCCTGTGCAGATGAGAAGAATGTATATTCTGTTGTTTTGAATGAAGAGTTTTATAGATTATCTGTTAGGCCCATTTGGTCAAATGCTGAGTTCAGGTCCTGAATATCTTTGTTATTGTCTCTGCCCCAATAATCTAATTCTATCAGTGGAGTGATAAAGCTTCCCACTATTATTTTGTTGTCATCTATGTCTCTTCATAGGTCTCTAAGAACTTGCTTTATGAGTCTGTGTGCTCCTTTGTTGGATGCATGTATTTTTAGGACAGTTAAGCTTTCTTGTTGAATTGCACCCTTTATCAGCATGTAATGTTCTTCTTTGTCATCGTTGGTTTAAAGTCTGTTTTGTCTGAAATTAGAATGGCAGCCCTGGCTTTTTTCTGTTTTCCATTTGCTTGGTAGATTTTTCTCTATCCATTTACTTTGACTCTGTCAGCATCATTGCATATGAAATGAGTCTCTTGTAGACAGCATGCCGTTGGGCCTTGTATCTTTAACCAACTGACCACACTGTGCCTTTTAATTGAGGCATTTAGCATGTTTACATTCAAGGTTAATATTGGTATGTGCTGATTTGGTTCTGTCATCATGTTGTTAGCTGGGTATTATGCAGACTTGATTGTGTGATTGCCTTATGGTGTCAGTGGTGTGTGTACTTAAGTAGTCTTTTTGTGATGTGCAGTAACAGTCTTTTCTTTCCATGTTTGCACTTAAGGACCTCTTGTAAGGGAATTCTGGTGGTAACAAATTCCCTTAGCATATGCTTGTCTAAAAAGAATCTTATTTCTTCTTCACTTACAAAGCTTGATTTGGCTGGATTTGAAATTCTTGGCTGAAATTTCTTTAAGAATACTGAATATAGGTCCCCAGTCTGTTTTGGCATATAGTGTTTCTACTGAAAGGTCTTCTGTTAGCCTGAGAGGGTTCCGTTGTAGGTGACCTGCCCCTTCTCTCTAGCTGTCTTTAGCATTTTTTCTTTCATTTTGACCTTGTAGAATCTGATGACTATGTGTCTTGGAGATTGTCATCTTGTATAGTGTCTTGCAAGAATTAATCTGCATTTCCCAGATTTGAATGTTGACCTCTCTAGTGAGGTTTGGGAAATTTTTGTAAACTGTATCCTCTAATATGTTTTCTGAGTTGCTTGTTTTTTCTCTCTTTCAGGGATGCCAGTAAGTTGTAGATTTGGTCTCTTCACATAGTTTCATATTTCTTGAAGGTTTTGTTCATTCTTATTTATTATTTTCTCTTTATTTTTGTCCGACCGAATTATTTTAGAGAACCAGACTTTGAGCTGTTGGATTCTTTCCTCAGCTTGGTTGATTCTGCTGTTAATACTTGTGATTATGTTATTAAATTCTTGAAGTGAGTTTTTCAGCTCTGTAAGTTCAGTTTGTTCTTTCTTAAGTAACCATTTTTGGAGGGTATACTTTTGATAGGACTTTTCTTAAAAGCTGCTCAGTTATTTGCATATTTCTTTCATTTAACATAAGCTTATTATTTTACTTCTAGGGAAATGTTTTTATTTTTTTCTCTTATTGGTGGCATGCTTCCTTTGCAGAATTAGCTTTAAGAAGTTTTTTAAAACTTTTTGAGAATATCATCTACATTTCTCTTGAAACTTATTTCCACAAAATCTTAACTCAGAGTGACACTGAATGTGTCTTTACCCAGGTACAAATGCAGATACAGTAATAAATCAAAAACATGAGATGGGAATAGATTTAGGAAGGTGGGGAAAAGTAAGTAAGTAAAATGAGTAGTAGGAAGCTTGACAAGTTGACTTCTAAGAATATAAGCTTCTCTGTGGTATCTATTGTATTGTCATTTTGGCAATTAAAACAAACTTTGTTTCCTAAACCGCTCTTGCTATATAATTACCATGTATTTTGCTGTTCCAGGAAACCAGATCAACTCTCAGTCATTGCAACATTTTTTATTCTAAAAATAGCATAAATCTTAGCTGGCTCGGTTTTTAGGTCTATTTGTTTAACTTTTGCTATACGATGAATTTTTTTGACTTTAAGATTATGGTAAATGATTTATGTTTTTCTATGAAGGATAGTAAGATATTTAATGTTGTTCATATAAAGATGTACTTTAAAAAATTTTAGCCAAATAAAAAATTTTTTCTGATTCTTTATAGTTTATTTTGATATGTACACATGAGTGCTGAATAAAATCTAGGAGTTTCATGGATATTTTCATTTAGTGTTCGTAATCTAAATGGTACTTTGTCTTTTTTTTTTTAAGGATATATTTATGTTTATAACAAGACAGTTGAAGGGGCTAGAGGATACCAAGAGCCCACAATTCAATAGGTATTTTTATTTACTTGAGGTAAGTAATATCTTGTATCTTGAGGTGACATTTTAAACTGATTTTTTGTGTTTGTATATTTTTACTAATCAGAATGTTTACCTTTCACTTTTTTTTACCTCTTATTTTTAGAACATTGCTTGGGTCAAGTCATATAACATATGCTTTGAGTTAGAAGATAGCAATGAAATTTTTACCCAACTATACAGAACCTTATTTTCAGTTATAAAGTAAGTTTATTTTATTAAGTGTATAACATTTAAAAAAATGTAAAGTTAACAAATTTTGAACTTGCAGGTGGACCTGCATAAACTGTTATGAATATTAGAAGGGTATGATGAATATTAGAAGAGATGTAACTTTTAAGACATTTAAATTTATTTTTATAGATGTTTTAAAAATGAATAGAGCTTCAGTTTGTATTATATGGAATTATTGGTTAGAGGAGTGGCATAAGGCCAATATAAAATTTTTTTGGATTGCATTATTTGTCTATTGAAAATGCATATTGACTTCTTAATGCATGTGGCTATTTGAGCTTTTTGTGTATTCTTTGAAATTATTTACTAGAATTAACCTCAAAGCAATTCTATTTTCTGAATTTAAGGCAGAACTGAAGTTGCTTTTGATGTAATCACTTTTGATTGTGAGACAGGTGAAAATTAGGGAAAAATCTAAGAAATGTCTAAAAATTATATTTTTAGACTATTGTATGCTGTGGGAGAGAGGGAAGCTTTAAATCAATTTACATATAATTCTATTTAATATTTTAGTATTATTTTTATAAAGTATAATGCTTGTCAGTATCATCTTATGCGTAAATTTTTATATCTCAGTCGTAATTGAAACGAAATCTATTTTGAATTACAGCAATGGCCACAATCAGAAAGTTCATATGCACATGGTAGACCTTATGAGCTCTATTATTTGTGAAGGTGATACAGTGTCTCAGGAGCTTTTGGATACAGTTTTAGTAAATCTGGTACCTGCTCATAAGGTGAGTAACAATATATACTGTAATGTGTCTAATGCCCATTAATATTAAATCTTATAATTTGTGCTTAGGTTCTAAATATGGCTTATCCTGCTTTAACCTTAGTTTTAGAGATCCTGTTGGTTTAGTTATATTAATACATGTTTATTGTGTTTAATGTGTAATAAAAAGATATACTTGTTAATCACTAATAAGTCATCAGTTTAGTTCATGTAATAACATTTGTGATAATTCAGTTTTATATGGATGTATTTCAGGGAATGAATTAGTAGCTACTTAGATGCTGTTATATAACTTATCTGTCAGAAGATGGAACCAAGTAGGGCCATAACTTAAAGACAGTGGTAATGTAATAGAGAGGACTGGTAAATTTAAAGTCTCTACTAAATGGGAGAGAAGTGATATGTTGGTGACATTGTCTTTTGCCTGTGTGATGTTAATCAAGATGCTGTGTGTGTGTGTGTGTGTGTGTGTGTGTGTGTGTGTCTGTGTGTGTTGACTTTTGAAAATGACTGGCTCTCCAGTTAGAAATAGGGTTCTGTAATTTGGAAGGGGTTTGGGTTAAAGAGAGGAACACAGGAATCACCAGTGTAATTATCTGTGCAAATATAAGACCTCTCTGGCAAGACACAGTCTCAGTGTAGAGCTATACAGCATTGTCACAAATAATGCTTTAGTGAAAATGATCTCGTAATGAAAAAATTCCATACTCTTAAAGAAAATAGTCTCTAGGCCGGGCGCAGTGGCTCACGCCTGTAATCCCAGCACTTTGGGGAGGCTGAGGCGGGTGGATCACGAGGTCAAGAGATCGAGACCATCCTGGTCAACATGGTGAAACCCCGTCGCTACTAAAAATACAAAAAATTAGCTGGGCATGGTGGCGCGTGCCTGTAATCCCAGCTACTCAGGAGGCTGAGGCAGGAGAATTGCTTGAACCCAAGAGGCGGAGGTTGCGGTGAGCCGAGATTGCGCCATTGTACTCCAGCCTGGGTAACAAGAGTGAAACTCCGTCTAAAAAAAAAAAAAGAAAATAGTCTCTAAATCCTGAGACTTAGCACACACAACAAATAGCAAGATTAGAACTCAGAAATTCAGAGAATATATTTATTAAATAAAATCCACAGGTTCTGGTGTGCTGGGGGTTCCTAGTCAGCTGCCATCTTGCTCTTCTTCCCACCCCTCACTCCTTCCAGCTGCACTTTGTGAATGCAGCTCACTATGTCCTGACTCTACCAGACCAGCCTCACTTCTGCCTCTGGTAACTGCAAGAGGGAGCGGGGAAGCTGACAAATAGACTTGCAGAGGCTTCTCCCATTGTCTACTTCACCTTGATGCCCACATCTAGTTAACAATTGCCGTTAATTCATTTTATTAAGTGAGCTTTAAAGATCAGCCTGGGCCCAGCTACTGACTTCCCCTGGGCAAATGAACACCTGGCCTGTTTCCACAAGCTCTACTGTTTGTGTGCTCAGTTGAGAAGGCAGGGGTCATGAATCCAGCCACAAAATGCTATAGGGAGGAAGGTTGAATTCCCAGAAGACCGCCTTTCAAACAGGCGGTGCTTGACTGGACTCCTAGTTCTCTGTAACCTCACCCACCTGTCAACTGTGCCAAGACAAACTCTCCTAGACACAAACCAAGTATCTATGTTGGCTTTCTGCAGTGAGCAGCTGCCTACCAGAGGCATCTGAGGTCTCCATCCATCAATTGTTATGGAAAAGACTTTTGTTGGGGAAAATAAACTCCCCCTTCCTGAATGCACATTTCTCCTTGGCCTTGTTATAGGGAGAAGACTTGTAGGTACTTCCAGAAACTAGAATCATAGGATCTACTAAACTTCCTATCTCTAAGTGTAGGAGCTGGAATCTTTCCACCAACTACTTACAGATTCAATCTTTTGCTTAGTCCATTTAGCTTAGGGTGGAAATTTCTCAAGGCAATTACTATTTTGCAGTCCTTTGTATAACTTTAGCTCCTTATAGTTTAGTGAATGACACTGAATAAAAACATTCTGACAAAGTTTTTTAAGAAAATCATAAATACTCTTGGAAGTATTAATGATAAAATGTTTAAGAGTTAAAAAACATAAAAACTAGACACATGAAAAGAAAATTAGGAGAAAAATTCATTAGGAATGAAAAATGGCTGGGTGCAGTGGCTCACACCTGTAATCCCAGCACTTTGGGAGGCCAAGGTGGGTGGATCACCTGAGACCAGGAGTTCAATACTAACCTGGCCAACATGGTGAAACCCCTTCTCCACTAAAAATACAACGGTTAGCCAGGCGTGGCAACTTGTGCTTGTAATTCCGGCTATTTAGGAGGCTGAGGCAGGAGAATCACTTGAACCTGAGAGGCAGAGGTTGCAGTGAGCCGAGATTGCACCAGTGCACCCAAGCCTGCATGATAGAGTGACACTCTGTCTCAAAAAACGAAAAGAAAAGTAAAGAACAGAACAATGGCTATCAAAATAGAAATCCTTTTTTTTTTTTTTTTGAGATGGAGTCTTGCTGTTGTTACCCAGACTGGAGTGCAATGACACGATCTCAGCTCACCGCAACGTTCGCCTCCTGGGTTCAGGCAATTCTCCTGCCTCAGCATCCTGAGTAGCTGGGACTACAGGTGCGCACCACCATGCCCAGCTAATTTTTGTATTTTTAGTAGAGATGGGGTTTCACCTTGTTGACCAGGATGGTCTCGATCTCTTGATCTCGTGATCCACCGGCCTCGGCCTCCCAAAGTGCTGGGATTATAGGCGTGAGCCACCGTGCCTGGCCCCAAAATAGAAATCTTGATTGAATTATATGTAAAAGGTATTTAGAGAACTAGGATAGATGTCAGGAAATTATAAAGGCACAGTGAGATGAAACATGAAAGATAATGTCTGACATATTTAATAGGAATTTCAGAACAACAAATAGAGAATTGAGAAGAGATGATATTCAAGTAGAAGTTAGCTTAAAATATTCCAGAATTGTTTAAAGCCATTAATTTATGGATTAGTGAGAAAAAGTACCATGACTAGAGTAAAAAAAAATAAAAAGAGGAAATCCCTTTTCAGGCCTATCCTTAAATTGTGGAATACTGAACGAGAAATCATGCACAAAGCACCCAGAATGTAAAGGCATGGCCCTTACCAGAGAATGAAGGCTAAACTGATTGCTGACTTCTCAATTGCAGTGTTAGAGAATAAATGTAATTTTATGTAAGATAGAGTGGTTTAATGGAATTATAAGTGATGTGATCCTGGGATGATCAGGAGTATTTGGAGCTCTTGATTAACTTTGAACTTTAAATAAACCATTTATGTTAAAATTTTAAGGATTATTAAAAAAGGAAGAGTTACAGTAAATGTAAATGGCCTAAATTTACCATGTAAGACAGATTCTCAGATTGGATTGAACATAATCTGGGTGGTTATTGTTACTAAGAAATACAACTAAAACACATTCACAAAGGGTTAAATATAAAAGGATGGAAAAAAGACTTGCCAGGCAAATATAAATGAAAAGAAAAGCTAGATAGCTTATATTAAACATAGTAGTCTTTAATGGATAAAGAAGAGCTTTAATAAGAAAAGATTCAGTACTCAGGAGGATATCTAATATCTTGTATGCACATAGGCTCAAAATATATAAAGCACAAATTGAAAGAATTATGGACAGAAAGAAGCAAATTCACCTTTCGTCTTCCATTTTAATGTGTTTTAGTGATTATAAAGCAGGTAAACTGAGTTTATAAAAATACTGAGAATTTGAAACACAAAACTAATTTAATAGCAAGCATAACTAACAAGCAAATTCAGTATTCGTGTTCCATTTTAACATGTATTTTAGTGATTATAAATGA